TATCATGATGGTATTTAATTTTAATTATTTTTCTTTAAATTTAGATACTTAATTTGTAGGATCCATTAAATTTTGAATCGAAAAAATGATATGTGAATTTCACAGTGAAGAGAATTCGGTCGGTTTATTATTAATATTAGATACTACAAAATTAAATTTTATTTATTGAATGATATTTTAATTTAAAGAATATTTTTTGGTGTAGACAAAAATTAAAATTTAACGGTTCCAACAAATAAGTTTAACTAGAAGTATATTTTATAAAAAAGCGTCTATTTTTTTTTTGTAAAAAGTATAATTATCATAGTTTACGATAGTTAGTAATAGACATTGACGATTTTATGAAGCGTTTTAGAAATTATAATGAGCGAAAAGAGGGAAGAAACGTGATTGTAAGCTTCATGTAAGATAGTCAAGATTAATTATACAAGTTTAAAAGAAATTTTCGATGTTACAAAATACCAATTTTATCATTATTTTTTTTTTGTTATTTTATTATTTAATAAGGACGTGCATGCAGGACGAGATTAAAGAACGTGTTAGCAAAAAGAACGTATAACATCCTATCCGGTACAAAAGTTCACATTAAAAAAATAAATTGATACAATTTTAACACTTTTACGAATTTCTATAACAAATTTTTTTTCTTATTTATCTCATCGGTTTTTATTTATTTTTTTTTAGATTTACATCAGGATTTACTCATTTTTGTCTAAACTATTTATTTTTTCACATGTAGGGCCTGTTATTGCAGTCAGTTTACGAATTATTGCTGGCTAAACAATGACATAACTAAACATTTTTTCTTTTAAACTAAACACTAAACACACATTGTTCTGATTTATTCTTTAATTACTATTTTCTTTTTATTTTCGGCTATTGCAAACTAAACTTTACTTTATTATAATGTACAGGGTGACAATTTTTCGTTTCATAATAATAATTAAAAGCTTTCATGGAGATTTTAACAATTTTTATGTTTACAAACTTTATTATTATTATTTTTTTTAAATCTATGGATTTTTGTTGTTGGATGATTTTAGAATTTAATTTATTGGATGTTATGAGTTTATATTTTGATGATTGGAATCGGGATATAGGAAGACCAATGATTCAATGCAAACATAAAAATTGTTTATTTTAATTACATACTATTTGAATTGACTTTGTCTTTTTTTGATTCTTGTAAAAAAATACTACTTGAATACTACGTGTCAATGTTATTTAGTAATAATGAAAAATTTAATTTTTGTTAAAATATTAAAAGTTTTCTTTTAATATTGAGATATTACAAAATAAGTGCATTTTGTAACTCAATTCAATCCACAGAGATACAATCCACCAATTAGGATTTTCACCAATCACCAAAGAGTTTGAAAGAATTTTTTTAATAACAAAGTTTTTACTAATAACTTTCTGGAAAGTTGCTTAAATCATTATGGTTCATAAACCAGGAAGAAAGCCAAAGGTAAAAACCTCGTATAGACCCATAAGCTATATACTGTATGGCAAGAAATTTAATACGATAATAAAAGATAGAGAAATAATCCCGGATCAAATACGGAACAATAGAACAAGTTCACCGACCAATTAACCAAATTAATAAGTTATAGATATTGTTCTGCAGCTTTCCTCGATACATCTTATGTCTTTGATAAGGTGTGGCACAGAGTCTTACAAGTCAAACTAAAGAGGCTCTTTTCCCGCCCACACTGGTTTATTACCAAATCATGGTAAGTTAACGGTGCTATATCTAATTGCTGTTCTAAACAGTCTTTTTACTTGCTATGACCACAAAGGATTGCTATGAAATAGACACTTGCTATGAAATGCCATTGATTTAACTAATCAATGCACCTTATTAACAAATAAACTACCCTTTTTAGTAAATAAAATACATTGAGTCTTGTCAGGGTTGACCAAAAGAGCATGTCTGTTAATTTCCATACATAAGTGATATAAATCCACCGTTACTTAATCATAAGCTTCCGATCGCTCACCAGGCAGGAAATCTAGATAAAGTTGAGAATCATCAGCATAAAGATGATAAGAACAACACTATAACTTTGAGAATAAATTGTTGCTATTTATTTTTTATTTATTTATTTTATACCAGTGGACACAAAACGGGACAAACCCAGAAGATTGTGTCACTACATTAACAGATAAATTATTAACACATTGTGCGGATAATTACGTATAAATTAACTAACAAAAACAATAATTATTCTATAAAAACAACGATAATAATAAGGCAAAATGAAAAAAAAAAGGAAAATACACAAAATTAAATAAATTATGAAATTTGAAAAATAAAGAGTACATTCGATTGCGTAACAGTCAAGTTAAGCAGTCTGTTCTGTACCACAGCGGCAGTTATCAAGCGCTTAAATGTCCTATACGGATTACAAAAAACATCTACACCGTTGCCAGTTTTATGGAAGTGATCGCAAGCAATCGCCATCCGAATCATAGGGGAATTTTGAAATAAATTTGTCCTCGGAATAGGAGTATAAAAAATAGTCTCATGTCTTAAAGATCGGGGTGGTATACGTATATTCACACTACCTAACAAGACCGAGGAGGCACATCTATTATTGACAATCTTGTAAAATGCCAGAGCATCGTTACATATGCGGCGCTGGTGGAGTGGAAGAAGTTGGAAAGAGCTGCACGCAGAATCGTAATCCTTATAGTTTAAATTAAATTTATAGGTTAAGTGCTTTAGAAATTTCTTCTGAATTCTTTCGATTCTGTTTATATAAGTGAGATACTGCGGATTCCAAGTAGTAGTGCAAAAATTAAGTATACTAAATACGTAAGCAAAATATAAAACTTTCCCCGCTTTAACGCTTTTGAAAGAGTCTGTGGACCTTATGACAAAGCCCAACATACGCAGCGCCCTTCCAACCACTCCATCAACGTGACCACTAAATGTTAGTTTATTGTCAAAAGTGACCCCAAGGTCTTTAATTTGAGGTACTCTGGGTAAAACATAGTCACCCAAGCTGTAACCGTATCTGATGACATTCGAACTTCTTGAAAAAGAAATAACCTCACTTTGGTGGGATTTGGGAAGCTGCGGTTAAACGGGTTAAGTATCATTTAATGAGAACAATTGGTGATGAAAGACTAACCTATGAGACCTTTTCCACAGTTTTGATCCAAATTGAGTCCATCGTAAACTCAAGACCTTTACTTCCTTTATCCTCTAACCCTCAAGATTTAGAATTATTGACTCCAGGACATTTTTTGATTGGCACGGCCTT